TAGCTGGCTACTTAGCACTGCATTTGAGATCAAGTGTTAAACTACATTTAGTCTTATTATCATGGGGTGCATTGCAGTAGAACATAAGGATTTATTTAAAACATGTCACATGGAGAAAATTCCTTTTGGCTTGGGAGTTCAGACTGTTATAATGGAGATATTCACTATTCTTATTTGAGGTACTTAATAACCATTTTCACCTACCAAGCAAGCCAGATCCAGAATTACAAAAGTTCCAGTGTTGATATATATATTATTTTATATCTGCATTACCTACTTTTTCCATTTAAGGTTTTCAGTCTCAGTGAAGTTAAACCATTTGTCTGAATGAAGTTCTAGGATAAGTTCAAGACCAGATTATCACCAGTGAAAAAAGGCTGCCCTGAGCCATGGCCAGGCTTAAGTTGTGACACAGATCCTTCAAGAATCAAAAACTTTTGAACAGAGAATGAACAGAAACAGATTTTGAAGCAGGAAAGGGCTCATGTACCAAGCCTGTGGTTCTTTCAGGGGCTGACTGCTAAAGACAAAAGAAGCCCCTCTCACCGGAAAAGGTTTGTGTAAAAATACCATGCAAAAGACTTTGGATTCCTGAGAGCATAAGGAGGAAAAAGCGATACCATATCCAGCTATGAACCAAGTCCATCAAACTTTATAATATAAATTGTCAAATGTTACTGAGAATATATGAAAAGTGTTATGAGAACACTGCCAACATTTTCTGTATTTTTCCAACACAGAATGGCTTTTGAATCAACTAAGTTGTTCAGGCAAAGGCTTTTAGCTCCACTCACACAATGCCTTGCCTACCTTGTGCCCCTCCTGTGTTAAGCTGCAGGGGAAAGTGGCACTCTACACTTCCACCCCCACAGGAACCTGCACTGGGCAAAACTGAGATGTAATCCATTTGCAATGACCCATGCTCAAAAACACAGGTTCAAAAATCAGATTAAAAATTAGGAGAATAAACCCCAATGTTAAGACATACAGAGATATTACTTTAGGATATTTCTAATTATTGGAAAAGTAGAAACTAAAAAGATTTTTAAGATAGTAAGGCCACTGAATGCCTTGTATTGACATAAATGGGCTCTGAACAGTCACATTTAAAATCAAAGAGTAAAAGCCATTTTACTACATTTTCTGAGAACTTTTAAGGAAAAAATAACCAGACTGATTAAGAAATTATTTGGACATCTATTCTCACCTGTCCAAAATAAACAAAGAACCTGTGTAGCATAAGTGCAACAAAAATAAAACTAATTTAAGTGTCTCAGACTTCTCTTTTGTTCAAAATTAGGTGCTTAAAGCTTGAACAAGAAAAATGTTATAAGTAATAGTAAACAGAATAAACCCAAGAGGCAAAAAAGAAGCAGAATGGTCAATTATTTCTGCAGTACCCATGCAAATGGCTTCTTAACATGGCTTCTACTCACTGTGCAGTGATACTGCACAATTCAACTGCACAATAAATGTCTGTGTGAAGCAGATCTGTGTAAGCAACAGCAGCAATACAATAACAACAACAACAATAAAATTATGTGGTCCTATAATACTTACACCTGTGAAACTCAATGTGTAAGGCAACCAGAAAGGCAATCAGAAAGATTAATTTAGTATAGCATCAGAAACTGAAGCAACAGTGATTAGGAACCAATCCTAGAGCTGCAGATAACAATGTTTGCAATGATATTGTAAGAAACCAGTGCATGACTTTTCTGCTCCCATGCTTGTTACACACATAGAGAGCTGAAATGCAATTAACTAATTCACAGTGCTGCAGAAAGATGTTTTGGGCTGCCAGAATAGCCACAATCGCAACAACTTCTAGTAATATTCTTTTTCTCATACAGTAAAAGAAACCCTTTCAATATCACAAAATACACAATGCAATAAAGCTGAATTAATCAGGGAAAATAGAATTTGGGGTATTTGATTATTCTTGAATGCTTGATGTCACCACAATAATATCAGAGCAACAAGGTCTCTGAAGTATTTAACTAGAACAGTATATGCAGTGCAACGTGATGCCTACAATTCCACTTTACTCTTTTGCTGCTGAAAGAGATTTTTAAAATATTTACAAGGTAATTATTTAGAAATAATTCTGTGTATTGCATGCAGGAGAAAATATTGCTAGTTGTTAGTTTGCTGAGGAAGTGTGATTACACACATTTTTAAAATTCCTTGATGGTTTCTCACCCTTTTTGTTGCATTAGCAATATGTTGACGTGATGAAATATAGAGCAGTGAACTAAAAAACTCTGCCAAACACCAGCTTTGCCTCTGGCCAGAGTATTCTGTACACCTGCAGCCCTGAAAGCACTGGAAAGGTTTCTAATTTCATGTTTTGAGAAGAAAAATAAAATGCTCTCAAGGAGCTAAAGGACCTTGCATTTTGGCCAACTGCACTTACATTTTTGGCACTATATCCTAGAAGTGAAAAGAGACAACTGGGACATTTTCTCTCAGTATCCAAGTTCAGGATGAATCAGTAACATAGCAGTGTCTTCTGCTCTTGCCAAAATCTCTTGAGATGTTCTAAAAATTAACTTTTTAGCTAATTATTTTATGAAGGATTGCATCACTGTACAAATTTATCTAAAAATACCTTCTCAGAATTCTCAAAAGGAATCTTGGCCAGGGTGATTATGCACATTATGTAATCACTCAGCCAAGCCCACATGGTAATTTTGTTTAATACTGTATCACTGAAAGGGTTTTTTTAAAGTCTGCTACAAAGTTCTACAGCTCTCAAAATATAGCTTTTGGTGTATGAATCAAAGCAGTTCCAGTGGTTTTGTTTTGCTGGGAATGTATTACTATGCTTCCCAATTATTTAAGCAGTAAACAATAAATATTTAACTGACAGATTGCAGCTGCTAAATTGCATTTAAATCATTACAATTAAATGTTTGTTTCTTGTGAGAAAATGTGTTTGCAACACAGAGGTCAGAATTATTACTACTAATTTTACAGCTGAATACATTGTGATATGAATAATTTTTTGAGGTTATCTAGGTTTTGACATAAAAACAATCCTTTTCTTCCAGCTTAAAAATAACAGAACTTTTACTTAAACTCACACAGTCAAAATCCGTAAAAATATGGCTCAACTCATTCATATAAATAATATTTTAATTTTTAAAATATTATATCCCTATCTGTAGCTTTATTAAAATAAATCATAAATATTCCAATTTACTGACAAAGGCAGAATATTTCATTTCTCTAAGATGCCTCTTTTTATGTGTGAAAAATTGTGACAAATTATTTTAAAATCAACTTCTTAATAGGGGTTTACAATGCATTCATTCACAAAGGCCAGAAAACGTGGATATATATGAAAGGAATACAGATTTTTTTATCATGGACCAACACATTATTTTGCCTCTCATAGCAAAAATTCCTCTTACAATATAGAACAGGGATGAATTTAGGGCTTTATGTTAATGTATAGCATTATCTAGTGATTCATCTTCTAATATTTATAAATATTTCTCCTTTGATGATCACATTAGGCTGGAGAAGTTGGGCTTTTTTGATTTCTCTTTCAGCAGTGTAACAGCTGTGGAAATGGAGGATGGGACAAATAAGAGCAGAAGAAAACATGCAATACTGCAGCTGAACATTCACTGAGGCTCTTGAGAATCAGAGAGAGCATCTCTCAAGGGAACAGAGGAACTGAACCACACAGGGGAAATCTGCCACTGCCCCTGCCCAGCAGAGTCAGAGCAAGCCTTTGTGCTGGGTGCACAGGAGAAACCTCTGGGGGCAGACAGTGGTTCTCCCCAAGGGGATTAAAGAAGTATGAGTGAAGTCTACAACCTCTATTATCAGATAATTCTTAAGTGTAATAAAGGGGTGACCTAGTTAAACCACATTCCTGTTCCTGGTGACTTTTTTTGTGGTGTCTGAGATAACAGGGAGATTATTTTGGCATCAATTTAATCTAGTTAAATAGCTTTACTGAAGATCTTTATCGCTATAAATAATGGAGGTATTTGAAGTATTTGGTTACAATTCTAACTGAAGTTCTCCAACACAATGCTTCTCTAGCAATCCTTCTCCCTGTCTGAAGAAAGCTATCAATGTTTTGAGCACAAAACAAGCACAACAACAAAGCAGTTGCTCAGTTCTCTGATGAACATTTTTTAAATATCCATGATATTTAAAGATATCATGGAACATTGGCAAAGGGGCGTATTCAGTAACCTAAGATGAAGGTAAAAAAGGGAGATATTTAAAAAAGAAAATAAGTACCTCTCTTTTCCAAAGCAAACCAAAACTCCCTAAATTTATTTGGAACTCAACATCATCTGCTCTGGTGCACCACAGTTGGATGAAGTGATAAAAAGCAAGAAGCATATCTGCCTATTTATCGTATAGATTTTGATGAAAAGTATCCTGGGCAGCTGACTGACCTGAGACACAAGTGCACCATGGCCAGAGCATATGTGATAATTGTTTCTAGAGGGTTTTTTAAATAAATGGTTTTTATTTAAACCTCAAATTACTTAATAGTGTTGAAGACACAGTGATGTTTACCCATTTGAGGATTTATTTCAAGGATAATCACAATTTCTAGATAACCTCTCAGAAAGCCTGAAGCCTTCTGAAAACACAACTATTTTACAACAGATAAGCAAATAACTGAACAAGAGTAGGTTAAAAAGAGTCAAGAGAATGGACAGATCTTGCTTTAGGCAAAGAGCATCTGCTGTCCTTTTTCACAGAATTAAGAAGGTTGGAAACTATATGAAAAGGGAAAACAAAATGTCTTGGCTGCACATGATATAAGCCAAGCAAATGTGCAGCTAATTCTTAACTCCAGAGAAGCAATAAACACTCAAATGGAACACATCCTACCTTGTGCAACTGCTGACACGGGTCAGACCTGGCTTGAACACTTCCAAAAGGACATCAGCATAAAACAATACAAATGAAAATAGTGCCAGTTTTCTGTTGCCATGAAAGTATGAAAAGTAAAGTCTCCCCACCTGCTGTTTTAGCTGATGTACTAATCTGTCCTTCTCTCGTTTAAGAGCCATTACTTCATCTTGAGTCTTCTTTTTCTTTGAAGCAGACAGCTCAAGCAAGGCAATATTTGCATCTTTTTCACTAATTGCAGCAAGCAAAGCTTCCTGTCTGATAAAATAAAATTAAAATTATTAAAATTAAAATTATTCTCATTAAAACAGGATATATACTACTATATATATATATATATACACTACTATACCACACCATGTAGGATTTTTTTTCAATCACTAGGAGAACAATCATCTACCTTCTGAACACTTTAAATAGCAAACACTGTCAGGTCTTACCAAATCATGAAATAAACTAATTAGCCAAAAATTTCTCTTTAGAGACTTTTCATTATTTCCTTTGTCAACCATTTATCTCAATCTATTTTACTACAATACAATACCTAACAATAGTTGTGTGAAATTTCTTGCTTTTAATAATCTTTGATTTATTTTTGTAATTCACTTTCCTGAATGCTAGAATACCCTACACAAATCTCTTTTGACTTATGCAGATCATAGAGACCGAATAACAGAAAGCAAAGTGATACAGATAAAACCTATTTTTATCCTGTTAACTTGGTACCCTAGGGTTCTCAGTGCAGGAATCTCTGGATATGTTCCTCATATTTACTTAGATGTTTTCTGTCAACACAAAAATACACTTCTAAAAGTAAAATACAAGTTTTTTGATCTGATTGTTCATGAGAAATCATTTCCTTTGTAATCTTGACCCCTCAATTTTACTGAGCAAACAGAATCTTACAGCACTGAGATAAATAAGGGATACCGCAGACACACACAGGGGTACATCACAAATTGTGAGGAAATAAGACAAATGCAATTTTTTACAACACAAAGTTGAAAGCACAGATCTTGCAGTATCTTATACCCTAAAATGCTCATGCTCTGTCAAGGCCATAATCTGTCCTTTAATTTCATAAGTAAAAGAAATATATTCACCTTCTGCAATGTATTCTGTGACAGACTATGACTTATCAGCCAAGAAAGAGCACATAATACCTAATAGCTTTTAGAAAAGAATATGTTATGGCCTTTTCCCAGAACTATGTAAGATCAATCATTAAAAAATAAACATGGATAAATGAATCATAAATTAACCTTAGGCTCCAACTGCTAATAAATGTAAGAATACGGCTCGTGAACTTCATACAGTCAAGGTGAGCTAAAAGATTGGAATTCTCACAGTCCTTTGCTTGCCAGCAAAAATGTCAAGAAAGTTATTTCACTTTTATTTCAAAGTTCCTAATGTATTAATATAAATATTTATAGGACAATATTTCTGATGGAGTCAAAGAAAAACAACCCATTTATTTTCAGTGAAGTTATACGGTGTGGATCAATTTTAGATAAACAGTTGCATTTTATTCATACACTTTAATAGTCTCATTTATTATTCTGTCTTGTTCATTCAAATCTCAGTTAAATGATGCTTAAAAGAGAATGCTGTAAGACTCCAACAGTCTTAATTTAAATTATAGTTATGAAGTATTTTAAATAATCAATACTACACAAAAAAACATATATCAGAGGGGTTGCATATCCATAATGCTAATATGAAATTAAATATAGGTACACTATTTTTCTATAAACTCATAATAATGCATAAAAATTGCTGTGTAGTAATTTGTAAAAGTGTCAGTTTGTTCGTGTGTTTTGCTCAAGTACCTATTCCATAACATTTTCATTAAAATATTAGATTTTTTAATGCACCAAAATAGAAAAAAAAGGGTGATTTGCTACTCCATTCACTTCCTGTGAACTTGCAGAAAGCAAGCAATAAAATCATGGAATGGTTTGGTTGGGAGGAACCTTAAAGCCCATCCAGTGCTATGGCAGGGACACCTTCCACTGCCCCAGGGTGCTCCAAGCCCTGCAGCCCAACCTGGCCTTGGGCACTGCCAGGGATCCAGGGGCAGCCACAGCTGCTCTGGGCACCCTGTGCCACGGCCTCATCTCCCCCACAGATGTCAGGCATGATAACAGGAGTTCTCTGGCAGAAATAAAGGTATTCTGTGACTTCAAAGCCAGAGAAAAGGAAACAGCATATTGCATACAGGCATAGAATATATGTTCTTCCAAATTAAACAAGGTTCACCCCTCTGCAGTTTTCTGAGAGCACACTGTCATACAAGAGAGAAACTAACAGAGAAAAGTTAGTTAGAAGTGTAACAATGTTCCAGTTATAATATCTGGATATAAACATCAATACTACCATCAAAAATCTACCTATTTTCATTGTGAGTGTATTAAAGAAACCTACATCTCAGAATTTCAAAGGTTTTAGAATATATTTAGGTTCATTCTAAAATTGTGCAGGTTAACTCCATGCCAGCCAGCCAGCCCTAATATAAGGTCTGCTCTCTAATAGCAAATTCCACAGCAAATACTTGTCACCAATTAGGTTTTTAATGATATACAGTTATTTAATACATATTACAGCTGTAAAAAGCCAAAAATTGAATAAAAGGATTAAATTAAAGGTTGAAAAAGGACATGAAGCTATACTGAAATTTTACTTCTCTGAAGTTTAGATCATGTCATTGCCTCTAAATTGGCAGTAAACCTGACTAGTGAGGAAGAAGAGTCAGAACTATTGAATTATTTGGTATCATTTCAACATCTGATAACAGGATTCAGTCACATCCATATTTTTGTACTGCCAGCCAAAATGATCACACATTCTTGTGACCTTAACTGCTCAGCTGTGCAACATTCTCCACTCCACTTTAAAATAACAGATGAGGTGAAACCTTTCATGGGAGAGGCGAGCCAGACAATACGCTTTGTAAAATCTGCACTCTGGATTCTGCAGCCCCAAACCCACAAAATTTTGCAGACCCTAGCATTTATTTTCTCAGCTGATGGGGATTTTCCTATCTTGGGAAAATGGTTGGGAAAATATGTAACCAAACACTTGATTCCAGGAAATAATGACTCATATCAAGCACTTCCAGGAAACGATGGTTCATAGTCATGTGAAATAGCTGCTGTCAAATGACACCACAAGTGGCCCACTGAGACACTCCAAGATTTGAATCAAACCCACAGCACATATATGTTTAAACTGCCCCACCAAAATTATTGCCAGCATATTTTTTAAATCTTTGTAGTTCATTTAAGTGGAGCTTGGAGGAGATGAGTGTGCGACACAAGGGTGGGGATTTCTGCGGAAGTGCTTCCCCAGCCACGTGGCATGATGAACACATCAAAAGCAACCTCACACTACCAGCACTCTTGGAGTCACCCAAATGTGAGCCACCTCTGTTGAGAAGCTGCAAAGCCTCAACTATCTGAGAGACAAGGTGTTTTAGCTCGGGCACGGTGCCACACAACGTGCTGATGGCTTCCAGACTGGGGCCGGCTCACACAGCCTGCCCAGGGTGGGCACAGCACCTGTCTGCACAGACACATTCCCAAATGTGGCAGCAGAATAGCCATGTTTATTATCAGGGATAATCTCAATAGCAATAACCTCAAATATAAGTGGTATTTAACCAGGCATCCGGGTTAACAAGAGGTTGGCATAGCTGGTCTATTCTACCAAATAATATGTCAGTTGCTTTAATTCTCATTCATTAACTACTTCTGTTCAGAGGGAAGAAAGGGAAGACCAAAGACTTTATTATTAATATCCAGAGTACAAAATAAAGATGCAGGTTGTGACAGAGCACCTGAGGAAGTCCATGTCCTCTACTCCTGCATGGCCTAGGATCCAACCGCCACTAAGTCCATGGAAGACAGAGGTGGAAGAAGACCTGCCCACATTTGCAAGGCACTGGGAGTGAAGAGATCCAAGCATTTATGAAGCTGCCTCTCAGGACAGATTGGGATCTCTACCTTATCATATCCTATTGATTACATATTGCACACTAATTCACCCACATCCCTGAAAGTTGTTATACTGGCCTGTCATCATATTTCAAGTTTCCTGTGGAAGAACAAAATCTCATGGACAGAAGCAATTTATTTTAGCTATCCTTGACCTTGCTAAAAAATTTAAATCACTGTTTTTGCAGCAAACATTTGAAATGAGATTATCTGGCCACTAGGAACAAGGTTAAGATGCCATTAAAGTGGTTGACAATAATTTTTTCACCTACAAACACCAAGTAACTCCATTCAAAAACGTAAACTGGTGGCAAGGTTTTTACCTAAATCTCTCAGGTACGTCATACACTTCTAATTTGCTGCTAGAAAATGAAACTCATCATGAATTCTAGTGCTAGAATTTTTGAAAACCAAGACCTGATTTGGCACCAAGAACAACATACAGTCTGATACACTCTCCGCTAACGTGCCTAAGAGTGTAAGCATAATTTATAATTCCTAATTATCTACTGTGTCATGAAAAAAAATTACTATCCAAATACAGTTCTACAGAGATGTTATCACTATTTGCAGCCAAAATGTCTCCTTATTGTTTAATAAATTATAGCAATAAAATACTTTTTAAAATAATTTATTAGAGCAGTGGATTAAATGACATTCTTTAACAGTAATATTTATAAAGAGTAATCCCTTTTGTTATTAGTAGTTTTTCCTCTCTTTTTTTGGCAAACTAATCTGTTATACAAATAACAGGGTAGTATTTTTAACACCAAAAAAAAAAAAAATCAGTCTAACTTTTTACAGTAAATGTAAGTAAATCCTCAAATTAAAAAAAATATATTAAACCTAACAGCATTGGTAATTATTCTCTACATTTTTCTTTCACCTGCACAAAGTAATTCCTATGATTCCCAACTTATATCTTCCACTATAATATGCTGCTTATTGCAAGGAGAGGAGGGAAAACTTTTCCGTGGAAAAGCAATACTTATGAAATTTCTCCTCCTCTGGCAAAGGCTGACTGCAACAACCCACAGCAACCTCAGGCCAAGTCTCCTTAACACAGAGCCAGTGAATACAACAGTCTCTTAATAAGCACACTCACAGCTGGGGGATCTGGGCTGACAGTCCAAGTGCTTCCACTAAGAGGTACCAAGGAAATTTGCACAAAAATCTGATTATACTTAATGTCACTTCATATGCAATACAAAAGAACAGATGAAAGAAACACTACCACTCTGATGGCCAGGAATGAATTTATTTACA